CTCTCATGTATATAATATCATTTTTAAAGTATAACTTGGGTCTTTAAACATGAAAATATATCGCTGTCTTTTAACATTGTAGGATGATGATATTTGGGGGTCCGTGACCTAAAAGACTGAAAACCCCCGGTTTAGGCACAACAGTAAGTTATCTAACATAACGTTAAAGTTGTTTAACCTGCTTAATGCATTTTCTCACATTAAACTCCTACGATGAAAGAAAGTGCTTTTGATCGTAATATTAGTAACGTTACGTCAGGCAAACGATTTCAAAAAATTGTCAGGTTAGCATAGCATTGCTCTTTTTTGTAAACAAAAATACATTCGTTCTTTTAAAACAGCTACTGTGAATTCTCCATCACGTCTAATTAATGTATACACAGTACTGCACTAAAATAGCAGAGCTAATGCACATAAACAATATTTTTTACCTGAAAATGTGGGTTCTCGCTGTCAGCAAGAGCGTATCCAAAAGCAACTTCCTGTTGGGGCCGGAAGCAGAGCTGTGACATCAGAGCGACGCGGAGGTCAGAAGCCCTCTCTTACAGCCATCTTGGATCCTGTGCCCTGAATAAGTGAGTGCTTCTGTGTTACATCTGCTGTCATCCAACGCTGTTTTGACGCGGTTGACCTCTCGTTTACTACTTGTATCGATGCTTTAGTGTTCCTCTGTGCTGAACGGGAAATATGTATTTATTTGGCTTGATTGTTGAGGAAATATCTTAATGAACACAACCGGTGGACTGTTCAAAATGGGGGAGCGAGACGCGCCGTCGCTCGCTGTGTGCGAGGAATGTAACGAAACGTTCAAATCATACGAAATATAGTTTTATAAACGACTAGAGCGATATTTGGGAAAACTCTTCAATGTAATGACAAAAATAGCTTGCTTTGTGTGCGTCTAGTAATAATCACTCATTGGAAAGTTGATCTCGCCTATTAAACAAATAATTGATAAACATACAGAGGTACACATGTCAAGGTAACATTATATTATGAAAGATCAGAAACGAATTTCCTGCTGTCCGCGTTGTTTTGTTATTATGTGGGTAGTGTTTGCTCTAATAGAGGACAGTGCTGCTCTGTTACACGTGAAATGTGCACCACTTTACACGCGCGCCTGTGGACAGCCTGTAAAACAAGGCTTTTGTGTAGTTATGATATTGAATATGCTATATTATGTGTTTGGGTTTTTATCAAACTCACAGTTTCCGTACAGTGGACTTGTGAAGCGTTATCATTCGAGCTCGATACTTGATCAGATGTGAACACAGCAGTGGGTTTAATTCAAGCCGGCTGTTAACAGCTGACAGCAGAGGCCTAGTGTACTGCTCACTTTGAATAGTTGTAGCCACATGAGCACAAAGCACAGACTAACACATGTCTAAAACATGTTATTGACTTAATTTTTTTGCAAAATTTGTAATGTTTGTGTATTGTTGATTTCTGTTGCAGGTCCAGAATGCCAGGCGAAGCCACAGAAACTGTCCCTGTTACAGAGCAGGAGATGCAGCAGCCCCAGGCTGAGACGGGTTAGTACTGCTTTTAAATGTGCATGTCTGACTAAACGAACACGGGTTGTGTGAGGAGTCCTGGAGCTATAGCGTTCATCCTTTCGGCAGTTTTTTATTTAAAAAAAAATAAGGCAAGTACTGTAAGTTTGATCAGTTTATTTTTATGGTGTTTTTGCACCTGTTTTAGATTTTCTGAAGGGTTTTTTTTAATGGTCCTCTACCAGCTGTTGTAGAAACTTCACAAAGCGAGTTTCTCTAGTTGGAGTGGTGACATGTTTTTTTTGTAGGGTGGGGATGCTGTTTGAGTCAGATTTCTCCAGCTAGAGGTTTTTAGGTTAATGTTTTTGAGCCCCTCCCTGGATAAAAAAACAACTGCACTAGTTCTGGCAAAGGGATAGTTCAGCCAATTTTTATGTTGATCCAAACCTGTTTGGATTTCTTCTGTGGAACACAAAAGAAGATATTTTGGAGAATGTTATTGACTTTAATTTTACAGACAAAAAAACATATTTTTATATATATAGAATGTAATTTGTCAACATAATAAAAGAAGTTAGAAAAAAAGAATTAGCTCTTTAAGCTGCAGCTCTTACATTCAGTGTAGTTTTTTTATTTCATTATTTAGCCTACATAATGGAGATATTGATTGGTTATGAGGTAGTAAAGGGTAGTTCTGAAAATCCAGTGAGTGATCCAGGACTGCCTTGCTCAATGGTGTGTTTGCCTGTACTGATTAATATTACACTAAAGTTGAGTTGTGATATAGAAAGCACATGCATCCTTAAATTTTTGTGCATGGAATATGGACTGTACCACTCTGCATGAACATTTTCCTAACATTTCACCGAACTTGATCCAGGACTGCCTTGCTCAATGGTGTGTTTGCCTGTACTGATTAATATTACACTAAAGTTGAGTTGTGATATAGAAAGCACATGCATCCTTAAATTTTTGTGCATGGAATATGGACTGTACCACTCTGCATGAACATTTTCCTAACATTTCACCGAACTTGAGTGATTGCAACCTGAATAGCTGTAAGACATTTATAACAAGGTTTTTTTTTTTTTTTTTTAAGATATTGTCTTAGATTAGGAAATGTATTGTTCTTTATTGGGGGGATTTATTGTACATGAATATTTGCAAGGTTTTCTGGTCTTTGTGAAGAGAATCATGCAATTTAGCTTGTTTACAAATGAAGTCTCCCAATGATTCTGATTTTGAGGAACACGTTTTTTTGTGTAGATTGTGATGTACAGCATCATTTGGTTCACAATGTAAATATTTATAGCTAAGTGTTAAAGCAACAAAATTAATCATTTTAAGTTGACTAAGTATACAAATCTTGGTCAAAAACTGGGCGAGTTTAGTGATAAATATGGAACACTAGGCTATATCTCTTGGATAGCACTTTGGTAAACTGCAGTTATGACAATATGAATAAGAAATATGATTTCTTGGATCCGTTACAAGGGGCATTTTTGTCATGCAAGAGACAAGGTTTTTCCACTAGGCAGAATGTTATTGCCTTGGTTTTGAGAGTCATGATATTTCTCCTCAGATTTATAATAAAAGAGCTAAGTATTTGATAGATTCTCTGATTGAATACATTTCACATACTTCTTGATTTTTTAACTGCTGTTTTTGAATTTTAATTGAAGTTGGGACTTGGGCATTGTATGGCATAAATTAGCAGTGGGCACTCTGTTGTCTCTGTAGTCTGTCGTGAAAGTTGTAAAGTTTATGAATTGTTTTTTTTTTTGTAATGAAAGTTAGAAGTGCATCTTGTGGCCTATTATTGATAATCTACCGATACTGATCGTGGGATTACAGTTCATCATTTTAACCAGCAACGTGGTCAGTTTTACTGTGTCTTTTTAAACACAAATGCACATAAAACGTATCCAATCTCATGCATAATAGCGTTTTTTTTAAGCCAAGTTTATATTGCTCTGTGATCATTATTTCACAATAGATTTATGTTTAGACTTGTTTTTAAAATCATGTACTGTAGAAGCAATACACCACTTTTTATAAAATATTTTCAACAAAATGCAGTTTATTACTTGTGCCTCCAAGGGCATTTGCTTACTAATATTCACTATTTCAGTTTTGTTTCAACTTTATTTGCTGAATAGGCGATATTACACTGTTTAACTGAGTGATTGTCCTTTCAGATTTTTTGTAGGTTGTCTTCAAGTCTAATTTACCATAAAGTATTGCATATAAAGTCTGCATCACAATACTGAAGTGGGTAGCAACATCCAGTTTACATGGACTTTAAATGTGCCAAAGATTGTGTTAGTCTTTGAACAACGTTAGTTTATTACAAATCTTTTTAGATGCTGTAGTTCGTTGCCAGTTCCTGTCTGGTTCACGCATGTGCAGTTGAGTGGTGTTTATACAAAGTCTTAAAATTTCTAACAAGATAATCAAGGTGTGTTTGGTTTGATTTAGTAGCCAGTTGTCCTTTTGTGGAGCGATTTAACACATTCGTGCAATTGACAGCATCCCTCATAACCAGCATGGATGTGATGGTTTACACCATGCACTTTTTAATAGCCAAAAAAGTCACTCTAGCCCTTTTATTTCCATTAGCCACACCTGCTGCTGCGGCCCCTGCTCCCTCTCAGGCAAAGCCTAAAGAGGGCAAAACTAACCCCAAGCTGTCCTCTTCTCCTCACACCACCGCTCCTAAGCCAGTTCCTGCTGGACGCAGGAAACGCTCCTCTCTATCTGCCTCCTCAAGCTCCCCTACCTCTCCTAAATCTGCCTCTGGCGCTCGTGCTACCCCTCCATGCTCCCCTTTGGCCTCTACTCCAGCTGACTGTCCTGTAGCTGGGAAAACTGAGCAGACTGCTCCCAGGGTGGTAAAGGCTGGCAAACAAGGGAAGCAACAGAAAGCAAAGAATTTTAAACCTGCTGAACCTGAGCAAGCACCTCCCTCTGCCTCTAAGCCTGCTCAGGATCCTGCACCAGTTGCAGCTCTGCCGTCTCTTGCTATACCAGTACCAGAAGTAGCAAAATCAGCAGGAGATGGAAATGCTTCCCCTGTCTCTCCCAAAATTGCTGTGGCTCCTGTTGCCTTTAAAGTAACTTCTAAATCTGCTGCCCCAGCACCAAAGTCATTTACAGAAGCTGTGGCCGCCAGTCCACCCAAAGTGGCTGAAGCCCCCAAGGTTGCCCCTGAAGCTCCAAAAGTAGCAACCCCTGCTGTTTCAGATGCCAAGACTCCTTTGCCTTCAAAAGCAGCTGCTAAGCCTGTCCCTGCCCAAGTGCCAAATGTGAACACAGCCACTGCTGCTCCCCCAAAACCTGCTCCTGCAGCATTTGAGGATGATGATCTCCCACCTCTCTTACCACCTGAGAATCCTTTTACAATGCCTGCTTTCCCCCCTATGCCACCTAGTATAATGCCCGTAGTTACCCCACCAGCTCCTAAAGCAGAACCTGTCTCTACCAGACAAGTTGAATCTGCCCCTAAAGCAAAGGCTACTCCCAAAGCTAAGCCAGCTCCTAAGGCTGAACAGAAAGCAGCACCTGCCCCAAAAGTTGAGGCTGCACCTAAAATTGACCCTACTCCTGCCCCTAAAGTTGCAGTCCGTTCTGTCCCTAAGACTGAGGCTGCTCCTACACCTAAATCTCAGGCTGTCCCTAAGGTTGAGGCTGCTCCTGCATCTAAAGAAAAGTCTTCCCCTAGCCCTAAAGCTGAGCCTGTTCCTGCCCCTAAAGCTGAGTTTGCTTCTGCCGCTAAAGTTAAGCCTGTTGCTGCTCCTAAAGCTGAGGCAGCGGCTGCTAAAGTTGAGGCTGTTCCTGCCCCTAAAGGCAAGCCTACCCCTAAAGCTGAGGCTGCTGTTCCTAAGGTTGAGTCTTCTGCCCCTAAAGTTGAGGCTGCCCCTAAAGCTGAACAGAAAGCAGCACCTGCCCCAAAAGTTGAGGCTGCACCTAAAATTGACCCTACTCCTGCCCCTAAAGTTGCAGTCCGTTCTGTCCCTAAGACTGAGGCTGCTCCTACACCTAAAGCTCAGGCTGTCCCTAAGGTTGAGGCTGCTCCTGCATCTAAAGAAAAGTCTTCCCCTAGCCCTAAAGCTGAGCCTGTTCCTGCCCCTAAAGCTGAGTTTGCTTCTGCCGCTAAAGTTAAGCCTGTTGCTGCTCCTAAAGCTGAGGCAGCGGCTGCTAAAGTTGAGGCTGTTCCTGCCCTTAAAGTTGAGGCTGTTCCTGCCCCTAAAGGCAAGCCTACCCCTAAAGCTGAGGCTGCTGTTCCTAAGGTTGAGTCTTCTGCCCCTAAAGTTGAGGCTGCCCCTAAAGTTATGTCTGTTGCTGCTCCTAAAGCTGAGGCGGCGGCTGCTAAAGTTGAGGCTGTTCCTGCCCCTAAAGTTGAGGCTGCCCCTAAAGTTAAGCCTGGTGCTGCCCCTAAAGCTGAGTTTGCTTCTGCCCCTAAAGTTAAGTCTGTTGCTGCTCCTAAAGCTGAGGCGGCGGCTGCTAAAGTTGAGGCCGTTTCTGCCCTTAAAGTTGAGGCTGTTCCTGCTCCTAAAGTTGAGGCTGTTCCTGCTCCTAAAGTTGAGGCTGCCCCTGCTCCTAAAGTTGAGGCTGCCCCTAAAGTTAAGTCTGTTGCTGCTCCTAAAGCTGAGGCGGCGGCTGCTAAAGTTGAGGCTGTTTCTGCCCTTAAAGTTGAGGCTGTTTCTGCCCTTAAAGTTGAGGCTGTTTCTGCCCTTAAAGTTGAGGCTGTTCCTGCCCCTAAAGTTGCGGCTGCCCCTAAGGCTAA